TCTGAAAAGGGGGCGGTAGGCCAAATAAGTTTGGGAACCTCTGACTTAGAAGAACATGCCCCTTTGTCTTCCCCCTTCCCTTCCAACATCCATGCACCTTGAAATTTCAAGTGGCTAGGTATATTGTTTGAGTCTTGATCTGCTCATTTATTATAGCCTATGTAAACATTTTCTCAATTAGACATTTTATAGCACATTGTGGGAAGGAGGAGGAATTAGGTTTGTTTTTTTTTTTTTTTAGACTCCAAACGTATCAGCTGCTTTAACACCTACTGTTGAGATTATCAAATAAATAAAGTAAAACTAACCTAGAAAAAAGGGGTCTACCTGTTGTGAAGAAAAAGGGCCAGCTGTAGGTGGTCAAAGGCTCATTCCTGGTTTCCATCTGCAGCAACAGCATGGAGGTTAATCGCCCCCTTTGGTAACTTGCTCTCTCTCAGTACAGTAGATGGCAGTACAGGCCTATTAGATCAGCACAGCACTCTTAGCAGAATTTACTCTACATCAATGAGAACATCTCTACCTTCCCATAGCCCATCCTCTCTCAAACTGCTACATTATGAGAAATAAATGGTGTTGATCTTTTATTTCCATAGTACTATAGAAATAAAATAATACTGGAAGTATGGCAAGAGAAGATCTCAAAAATGTGAGAGGGACTAACTGGTTCGGATGATGGGCTACAGTACCTTTACTATAGGTTGCCACTACCAATTCAGCATGGGTCAGTAGGAGCTAAAAGTCATTACCCCTTGGTGGTGCTTTGGTAGCCTATGTGAAATGAGCCAGTGATCGGAAGACAAGTGCTTACATCTCCAATCACTCCCATAATTGGCAGCAATTGACACCCTTGTCACTATCACAACTGACACTGGCAGTCTCTGCAGCAAGGCTAAGGACCAAAGAGACATGGAGACTGAATTTCTCTCTCCCCCAGGGGTAACCCCACTAGAGCAGAATTGAGGCACATCAGTGAGACCGTTTGCGGGAAGCTAGCTCTGCTCCTGCCTGAGCTATTCCTTTTCTGTCACTGGATTGGAGCACTCCAATCTCCAGGACTGTCACTCCAGCACTAAATTGGCTTAAAATAAAAACCCAGAAGGCACAAAAATGTCTGTGTAGCTGGCGGGCAAAGGAAATTCAAAGTAGGATTATTAATACTCTCTTAGGAATTGAAGTGAGGAACGAAACTGACCCAGGCTCTCCGCCCCTGGGGAGCTTACAAGTATATGTTGCATGCTATCACCGGTCCAATACAGAGGAGCAGAATGAGACAGAATTGTCATATTTCAGAGGGGATGAAAATTACATTGGGTTAAGGTCCATGCTGGATCAATGCCAAGAAATGACTCTACTAAACTAAGGATCCAAAAAGACTTTAAAGTCCAATATTCTGCAGAACATCAGAGCAGGATATTATGAGTGTCAGTAGAAGGCTGAGGGTAACCTCAGTTCTCTCACTCCATCATAACACTTTGTTTTCACTCCAGTTGCGTTGAGGTATTAGAACATGAAATCACATCATCCTGATTACTGCTTTGCTTCCCATCCCCTCCAGACATACACACCACTTCCAATATGATTTTAGTCATTCTCTTGAACTA